GGGAGGGGTCCTGGGGGGGTCCTGGAGGGGTGCTGGGGGTGGTTCTGGGGATGGTTCTGGGGGTGCTGGGGGGGTCCTGGGGGTGCTGGAGAAGGTGCTGGAGTTGGGGCCGGGGGCTGCAGGGCTGGGGTGGGCTGGGGGCTGCAGGGCTGGGGTGGGGTCCCGGCCGCCCCCCCTGCAGCCCCCCCCCGTTTCAGGAAAGCTGAGGATGGGTCCCGCCGCCTTCCTGGGGCTCTGCCTGCTGGGGTGCCTCGTGCTGCCCCCCTCCCTGCCGGGTGAGACCCCCAAACTGCCCCCGAGACCCCCAAATTTCACCCAGAGACCCCCAAACTGAACCCCGAGACCCCCAAATGCAGCCCGAGACCCCAAACTGCGCCCCGAGACCCCCAAATTTCACCCAGACCCCCCTGAGACCCCCGAGCTTCCCCTGCCCACCCTCTGCTTCCCCCCCCCCCCCCCCTCCCCCCACCCCACCCCCCCCCCAACCCCGGTCCGAAGTGCCCCGAGCCCCCCCAAACCCGGTCCGAGGTGCCCCGAGCCCCCCCAAACCCGGTCCGAAGTGCCCTGAGACCCCCCAAACCAGACCCGAGGATGCCCTGAGCCCCCCAAACCCGGTCCGAGGTGCCCCGAGCACCCCAAACCAGACCCGAGGATGTCCCGAGCCCCCCCAAAAGCCGCTCCCGGGTGGTTTGGGGGTCTCGGTGACCCCCGTGTCCCCCCCAGGGGCTCGGGCCACCCGCTGTCCCCGGGGCTGGCTGTCCTTCCAGGGCCACTGCTACGGCTTCTTCGGGCAGCAGCTGAGCTGGAGGAGGGCTGAGGTGGGTCTGGGGGCCCCGGGGGGTCTCGGGGGGTCCCGGGGGTCCCCCAGGACCCCCCTGGACGTGGCTCTGTCCCCAGGCGTGGTGCCAGGCCACCGGCGGGGGTCACCTGGCCTCGCTGCGGAGCCCCGAGGAGCACCGGGCGCTCGCCGCCTTCCTCGCCCGGCGGCCGCGGGGAGAGGAGGAGGAGGAGGAGGGCGAGAAGGAGCGGGACAGGGACAGGGACAGGGACAGGGACAGGGACAGGGACAGGGACAGGGACGGTGTCTGGATCGGGCTGCACCGGCGGGTGAGTGTTGTGTGCCCGTGTGTCACACCGCGATGTCACCTGCTGTCCCCTGGCTGTCCCCTGATTGTCCCCTGCCACACCTGGATGTCCCCTGTCTGTCCCCTGTCTGTCTCCTGCCACACCTGGATGTCCCCTGCTGCTGTCCTGGTGTTCCCTGCCCTCAGCGTTTCCTGTCTGCTACATGCGCTGTCACCTGTCCCGTGTGTCCCCCGCGCTGTCGCACCTGTTCCTCTGTCCCTGTCCCCAGCCCTGTCCTCCTGTCCCATGCGTGTCCCCCTGTCCCTGTCCTTGTCCCTGTCCCCTGTTCCCATCCTGTCCCCATCCCTGTCCCATCCCTGTCCCCATCCCTGTCCCCTGTCCCCATCCCTGTCCCCTGTCCCCTGTCCCACCCTGTCCCACCCTGTCCCCTGTCCCCTGTCCCCTGTCCCCTGTCCCTGTGTCACCCTGTCCCCTGTCCCCACCCTGTCCCCTGTCCCTGTCCCCTGTCCC